CCCTCAACCCTAAACCCAAAACCCTTGGACTGCACGCCTTTCTTCGCCCCCACGTCCTCGTGCCTCAAGTCCAAAGTCTGGTGCTCGACTGGTGATGTCCAGATCCTGGATTCATAAAATTCCCCTGGAGCTCCAGCTTTTTTGAGTAAAGGGTAGATCATATGGTTACCCAAGGGCTCCTATGTAGTTCCTTTTTGAATAGTATACTATGATTCCTCACCCAAAAACCACAAAAAGAACATAACAGACCCAAAAAGGAGCTACATTGCAGCCTCTGGGCAGTAGTCGACCAGTAACTGGAGCCCGGGAGATGAACACAAAGCATGAACTACGCCTCAGTGACGGGAGACTTGGCTCTTTGGGATTAGAGTTTATAATAGGGTTTAGGGTTTAGGGTTCAGGGTTTAGGGTTCAGGGTTTAGGGTTTCGGGCTTAGGGCTTAGGGCCTAGGGTTTAGGGTTTAGGGTTTACGGAAGCCTCCCTGCAGGGATGACGGTGATGCCACCGCCGTAGCTGCGGAGGGCAGGCGCACACCCACCCTGCCCTTTCTTGTCGTATTACTCTTATGATTATTGCTGGTATGTTTGTTATTACTGCTGAATTTCTATTCCAAATATTAGTATGATGGTTATTCTTGTTATTATTACAGTTTTTATTTTGTTGTTATTATTTTGATTCCTATTCTTAAGACTTCGGGTCTGGTCTTGACGGGCTTATCATGCGGGGTGTATCGGTTGGGGAGCTTGAGTGTACCCCACCCTACCGGAGCCTGCTTTAGGGTTTAGGGTTTAGGGTTTTTTGGGTTAGGGGTTAGGGTTTATGCGCCTTGGCGAACAAAGGAAATCAGGCCCATCCTGCTGTGCTATGGGCCACACTGTTGTGTGGTTCCGGCCAGTAGGTTGCCGGGTTTTTGTCGCGTTGACCCGGAACACCTCTCCCACTCTGTGGTCCCGGGTAACCAGCGTTTAGGGGTTAGGGTTTAGGGTTTAGGGCTTTCTTGTGCGCCTGCAGCTTCTGTGTTTGGTTTTTGCGAAAGGCTCTCAACCCTTAACCCTCGAACCCTAGACCCTAGACCCTGAACCCTGAACCCTAAACCCTAAACCCCAGACCCTAAACCCTAAGCCAAATATCCTTGATGCAATAGCCCTAAAAATTCGAGGGCCCTGCAGTAGGCCCTTACAAAAACGTAGGTTCCAACAGGTCAAGGCGGGATGTCGGGCAACAAGGGAATCCAAATGTAGACCTTCAGTAATAGGATCCTGGTTCTATGTGGACCTTCAGTGATAGGATCCTGTTTTTAAGTGGACCTTCAGCAATAGGATCCTGGCAGCAATAGGATCCTTATTTTGTGTACATCTTCAGCAATACCTCGATCCTGTACATCTTCAGTAATACCTAGATCCTGATTTTCAGCACCCCTGCCTTCCTGGAAACCGCCAGGTAGCCCCTAGCGCAAGAAGACCCTTGTAGACCCTTTAGAGGCACCCTGACAGGAACCCCCCTGAGGATAGCGATCCAGAAGGCTCGCATTGGGGTTCTATATCTAGAAAGGTCCCCAAATGATTCTGTAATGGCTTGCGGCTCGCATCCCTTACTAGTGCCCAAAACCCACTTGGACGTTCTTTCTTGACTTAGTAGCTTGGGTTGTTAAGATGGGTTATCAACATGCACTCAAGATATGAAGTAAACTTACTAGACCCTAAACCCTAAACCCTTTAACTTACTAGACTCTACACCGGGTCAGGATTCAGGTTCAGCGCTCTGAGCCTTGTAACATGTTTCGTGCTTCTGTAGTCTCCAGAAGCACGAGTCACTGACCGCTGAAGCTAAGCCTCGGGCTCCAGTTACCCACATAGTAAGACCTACTAAGTAGGTCACCAGTCATGTTATATGTACGCGCCCTAGGGTAAGGTTAACGCACCCGCATGAAGGAATGGCAACATCTTTGCCAATGCGTCCGCGGTTTTGTCCGAAGATGACCGGCAGGCCAGCAGCTGTGTCTGTAGTCCTGGTGGGTTTTTGCAACGGAGTCTGCAGGGGTGGGAATACTCGTTACAGCGATCCTAAGCCCTAAACCCTGCCTGGACCCCAAAGAACCTGCCTTTTGAGGGTTCCTTATTATGATTTCTTTATATGAGTCCTTACAAAGGTAGGTTATTAGGGGTTAAACCCTAAACCCTAGCGATCGCCGCAAGCCACTGGTCCCAAAAGCCCACATGTTGGTATCTCGTCACTCGGGCAAAGTGGCAGCCGAAAACGACATTTAGGGTTTAGGGGTTAGGGTTTAGTGTTTAGGGTAGAGTGTTGCATTACGACGCTGCAGGAAGATAGGGTTGTTAAAGTTGGTTGAAGGTGCAACTCGGCTTGTTTATGGGGTTTTGAATCCAAGTTTACGTTGCCAAACCATTTCCACCCTACACCCTGCAGCCGAAAATCATAGCAGGACCCCACAGCAGACTTCGACTTGGAGAAGGAGTTGGCCAACGAGGCAGATCAGGTGTTGTGATGGGTTTCAAAGGGTTTCTAGGTTTTAGGCTGCGGGGGCTTTGGCTTTGGGGAGATGTTTTTTGGCTTTAGGTTTCTTCCCACATCTTTGATAGAGGTTCAGTTAGAGATGGTCACGCGTTCGGGGCGTATGGTCCGTAAGGGCCTCCATCGCGAGTAGAATTTTGCAACCCTAGATTAGATACTGGTGCTTGTGGTACCGCGCACCCTAGAATCACCAAAGCTGACTTTGTTCAAAGCATATGAAGCCGGCAACCCTAAGCCCAAACACATCCTAAACCCAAAGCCCTAATCGGGGCCCTATTAGCCTTCAGAATCGGGTGCCCATCTTCAACCTACCCCCTAAATTGCCGGATCCTTTTGTCGCAGAGCTTAGGATATTAGGGTCGAGGGTGTAGGGTTAACCATCAGGGTCGTGGGCTGAAGACGATTTCCGGCTCAGCCGGAGGTTTTGAGGGATTGCCAGGGTTCAGGGTTTAGGACGTTTAGGATTTAGGGCGTTCATTGCGTTCGCCACACCCCGGCAGCAACGGCTCATGAAGGCTTCCGATGGCCTTAGCAGCCCTAATCGTGACCCCTGAAGCCTAAGCCCCACCAAATACAAAGACGACGCGTAGAAGGCCAACGCCTCAAAAACGAATAAACCCTAAACCCTAAACCCTAAACCCTAAACCCTAAACCCTAAACCCTAAACCCTAAACCCCCTAAACCCTAACAAAGGATAGAGGAAACCCGTTCTCCCCGAAGCCTCAACCTCCTGAGCAGTCACCTGAGCAGCAAATTCAAGTTGCATTGCCCAGGGGCTCCAATGTAGTTCCTTTTTGGGTCTGTTATGGTTCTTGGGTAAGGAATCATAGTATACTATCCATATAAAAGGAACAAAACATAGGAGCCCTTGGGTACCACACCAAGACATATTTAAAAATGCTATGCTGCGAGAAGTATCCGTCCGAAGCACTATGCAAAAAGCTCCTGGAAAGCAGTATATCAACTCACGTGTGAACCTGCTGTGAAGCCCCTTTGAGGACAGCCCAAGGTGGACCCCTGAATTTTCTGAAGGGCCTGTCAAAATTCATACAAAGCTCCTAACCAAAAGCTCTCAACTGCACAACCTCTGAGCCAAACCCTAGCCCTCACTAAGCCCCAGACTCTAAACCTAAGCTTTAAATCCTGTAACCTAAACCCTAAACCCTAAACCAGCAAGCCCTAAACCCTGAACCCCTAAACCCTATAAATCCTAAACCCCTAAACCCCTAAACTCCTAGAACCTGAACCCCCGCATCCCTAAACCCTAAACCAGCAAGCCTTACACTGAGCCCCCATGTCACTCCATGGGGTCCGGCCCTCCCGGCGTGCCGAAGTGCCTTGGCAATCAGCGAGGTTGGTTTTGACTTTTTTTTCCAAACAATCCCGGGTTTACAGAGTTGTTGTTTTGGAGTTAGGGTTGCGGCTTTGTGGATTTGCTGTAGGGTTTCGGGCTTAGGAGGCGTACGTTTCTGGGAGTATGTTCGTGTTTTGGGTTGGAGTGAGCTTATTTTCGGGTTTGTGAAGAGCAGTTTATGAGGGTCTACTTGACTGTGGCGAGTTTCATTTAAGGAATTGAATATTCACAATGTGATTCTTCAAGATTCCCGAAAGTATTCACAGGATCTGGGTCCCCCAACACTCCACATTTCTCCATGGACTGTGACTAAGAGCGCAGTGAACCTCAGAAAGTTGGAACATGGATTTAAGCACCAGGATAATGATGTTCCAACTGTCTGGCTTCTACTTTAGGGCTCGGGGGCGATTCAGTCATTTGGGCTTAGCGTCTATAGGCCCAGGATTTTGGAATCAGGGTTCAGGGTTACTTTTGGGGCTCGCAAAACATATACACGAATCATAACAAGAGTCATCACAGCGATAAAGACAATACTCGGTTTAACGACCCCTTTGTTTGTAAAGCAGCAACGACAAATCAACAAGACCACCTACTTTGCACGCGTTCCCCCCACAGCCTCACAAGAAGGTTTAACCCTAAAAGGCCATAAAACTTGAATCTCAAGCTTCGTCCTTGTACTGCCCTACACCTTGAAATCGAAATCCTGGGACTCTAAAATCTGGAGCCCTAAATCCTAGACTCTACCCAGAAACTCCAATGTAGTTCCTTTTTGGGTCTGTAATGGTTTTTGGGTAAGGAATTATAGTATACTATCCAAAAAAGGAACTATATAGGAGCCCTGGGGCAAACCCTAGACTCTAAACCCGATTGCCTGGTAAACCCTAAACCCTAAACCCTAAGCCCTAAACCCTTTAACAAAAAGACTAGACTCTAAACCCGACTGGCTGGCAAGGTCCGGGCGGAGCTGGAGCGGCTCAAGGCCTTTTGGCGCTTTCAGGGTTCAGGGATTCCGGCTGTGGGCTTTCATTAATTTGTGGCAGTGTCGGCACCAGGAAAAAAGAGCTGCAACAAATAAACAACAATGACTGGCAGAAGGAAACATTGGCAGGATCAGTGAGGGTTGTTTATTTGGGTTTTTGAGCTTAGTTGTTGTTTTAGGCTGGCGAGTTTAAACCGTATATAGCCTTCCGCGTGATAAGCAGCAGACTCTGCGGAATCCTTTTGACAGGCTATCTTACTACAATGATACAAAGGAAACTGAGACATTGGGCTTTCTGAGTCCCTAAACCCTAAGCCCTAAACCCCTAAACCCCTAAACCCTAAACCCTAAACCCTAAACCCCACAACCCCAAAGGTTAAGGCCCCCTTGGATGCTTGAGCTTCACCAGAGAGTTGCACAGCTTCTATGAGGCCAAAGGTTCCCAATACCTCATACTGTTGATGATATACATCCTGCATTGCCTTAAGGACCCTAAACTATGGGAATTATGGTATATTCCTGGTTATGGGTAATGCAGGATTTATATCATCAAGCGTAGTTATGTGCCCTAGAAGTACTGCTTTCTATGGAGTATTATTCGACGATATCAAAGCCCTGTAAAAGCCCAACATCCTTTGGATTTTGTTGTTCCAACTCGCCTAAACCCAAAGGGTCCTAGGCACCTATCTAGGGGTAAATACCCAAACCTAACCACAGCAATTCCCATTGTAGAAACACTACTTTCCATCATGTAGGTGCGAAGGACCCTGAGGGCGTCGCAAGGAAAACCCCAAAGCCTGAACCCCAAAGAGGCCTGGCGCAGCCACGCAGACGGCGTCGAGGCGGAAAGCAGCCCAGAAGCAACGGCAGGGCTTTTTGGGTTTAGGAATTCTCTAAGGGTTTTAGGAATTCTTGAAGGGCTTAGGGTTTGCGGTTTGGGGTTTGGGGTTTGGGGTTTGGGGTTTAGGAAGTCTTCACGTGCACGGGGTTGAGGGTTTCGGAGGGTAGTGTTCAGGGTTCGGCTCTGTTGCGAGTTTATGTAACATACGCTCTCTCTCTCTCTCTCTCTAAAGTTCCAGTGTCCGTATGCATACAAAAGTGACGTAGCCTTCGAGTACTTATGCATTTAAAGTTGGCTCTGTGTGTACAAGAAAGAGATCAGAGAGAGACAGAGGGCGACCTGCGATCATGAAGACCGGCGGACATGCTAGACTACCTGTAGTCTCCATTGTAGTTCCTTTTGGGGGATACCGTGGATACCTTACAAGATCCTTAATATGTAGTTGGTTAAACCAGAAAAAGGAACTACAATGGAGACTATAGGTATAAGGACGAGCAGAGCCCACTGCAATTACTCAGGGCCCCCAAAGCAAGGCGTTTTTTTTTTTAATCTGGAGTCTACATGACAGAGCAGTGCTCCCTTGGCACTTCTGTGGGAATCTCAATCTCTACCTCTCAATTCTGCTCTGCGCTAACTCGATCCCAAAATCGGATCAGCAACGGGATTCTCTCTCAGGGCTTTAGTAGTTGTATCCCGCTTGGCTCAAAATAACAGACCCATCCCTAAACTCTGGACCGTGAGTCAAACCACACGCGCTGAGATCCCAATTGAGTTGTACCCAGGCCTGGACACAGCTATCGAGGCTGCTGCTCCGGCATTCAAATTTTGTGAGTACTTAAATCACGAGTTGGGCGGTCATGTCAGTCCATTCGGGAAGCACATGGAGAGCTTAAGGTGACAGGTATCCTCAGCTTGCCCAACTTGGGGCAGACTACTGATATCCTAAAGGTTTAGGGTTGTAGGGGAGAGTTTCGAGAGTTCTGGGTGTGTTGGAGAACAAAATGGGGTTTACGCGTCTGCGCAGCATTTCGACTGTCGGGTCGTTTGGGGTTTGCTGTTCACCGTTCCGTCTCACCATCAAGTTCATATTCGTACTCAAGATTATATGCATGTTCCTAGTCATAGTCCAGGCAATCATTATAAAATTCGCAATGGTCAAGAGAAGAAGAGTAGTAACGGTTCAAAAACCATCAACAGTCGTTGCCATAATCATACTAGTTGTCATCGCCTAGGGGTCCGGTTACCTACAGAATGGGGTACTGGGTTACCGATTAATTATGTGGCTAGTAACCCAGTAGTACCCTTTTGCCCGTTTTTTTTTGGTGTTCCCTTCTTAACACCAAACAGTAGGAAACAAAGTACCGTTATTATCAAGGTGCATTAAGCTACCATTTAGGTAACTGGAGTGCCAAGGTTGCTTACACACGATACCTGCCTCTGTCTGATTTTTTGAGGTGCCCAGCATGCACAGCAGTCTTTCCGCATGCGTGCGGCGACGTCACGAACAATGTTAGCACAACCTCAAAACAGAAGAGCCTGCTGTTGGACATGCCCTTCAGTCCTTCAGTGCGGAGAAAGCTCCAGAGCAAGATCCTTAATTCAAGGACACCGGAAATCGTTAGGCATAACCATAATATAACAATGCCGTTACAAAGCCCACAAATCATTTATATATAGGTCCTACAAACATCCTATGAGAGCGTTGTTCTTTTCTGAAGCGATGTGCATCAAGTCGGCTACCCCAGGGCTCCTATGTGGTTCCTTTTTGGATAGTATACTATGACTCCTTACCCAAAAACCCTAACAGACCCCATGGGAGCCCCTGGGTAGAGAGACAGGCGCTGGTCTTCGCTCTGCGCTCCCGGCCGCAGCCGCGGGTGGAAGGACCCAGCGAGGCACGCCCGGACTTTGTGGTGATTACTGGGCTTGAGGGCTTAGGGTGTAGGGTTTAGGGTTTAGGGTTTGGGGTAGATTATACTATGATTATAATAAGGAGCCCCCAAAACCATATTCTAATTATTAAGGCCCCTACATGCCTTTAGTTCAGGGTTTAGGTCTGGAGAGGGCTGCAAGGGCTTGACCCTAAACCCAAGAAGTGCTAAAGCCCCAAAATATCGAGGGTGTCACCAAGCTGAAGGCTATGTTGCGGGGAGGCTCTGTCAGATTTGTGGGTCGAAATGAGTATGGGCTCTGGGTGTGGGGTGGATGTTAGAGGTTGTTTGCCTTACATGGGTGGCGAGCATCACCCGTACTGCTCCTACCACATATGCACTGCCACTGTCTATGCCTTAACGCCGTTTTTGAACGGCGTTTTTTAAAATCCCTCTCATCCCGAAGCCCCGAAGCCGAAGTAAACTGCACGGGCCAAAGACATCCCCAAGCTCAAACCCCGCAACAGCCAAAGAGGCCACCAAAGCTTCCAAAGTCGAAAATCTGGAATGCCTTGGACCACAATAACTCCGAATCCAGGAATCTTTGTCAGAGTTGGATGACATGTTACTTTTGTATGGGTACATAAAATGCAAGAAGGTCTAGACTAAACCCTAAACCCTAAACCGAAGAAATTCAAAAAACTATCCCCACCGTGAGCTGCGATCCCCAGCCGAAGAGGAATGGAAGTCCTGGGCCGCGGGTGCCTGCGCCCTCCTTGATGAGCATTTCTGGCAGCGACCGATTCAAGAGGACCCCCAACAGCCACCCAGACCCTCCGGTTTAGGGCTTGGGGTGTAAACCCTGAACCCGCAAAGCCTCAAAAGGATTATGTCCATCTCTCAATGGGTACATGCATGTACATGACATGTCTCTTGCAGCTCAGAAAGACACGAATCCGAATCCGAATCCGTGCTGAGGCTCGAGTCACTCTAGTCAGGGGCTCTTATGGTTTTTTGGTGAGGAAGTATAGTATACTATCCAAAAAGGAACCACATAGGAGCTGTTGGGTAGTCTTACGATCCTACTCTCAGAAGCCCTGAACTCGAAGCCCCGTCAGTGGCCCTACATCCGAAATGCTCCGCACGACGCAAACCCGAAGCCCTGCACCGCGGACACTCCAAAGCCGAAAACCAGACCTCTGCCCCGTCCCTCAAACCCCTACCGAATAGAGGAGCCTTAGGGATTAGAATAGAGTTTTTTTTTTTTTTNNGGGGGGGGGGGTAATTATAGCATAGTATAAAATGGAGCTAGGCGGCCCAAGGAATAGTATCGGTAATTGCTCAGGATTCTAAACAAAACATAGCTTCCATTGCAAGTCATGTGTTTGGCTACCCCTCGCTTTTAAAATATAGGATCCTAGCGGTCCTACGGGTTAACCAAACATGGAACTACAATGGGTACCTACCGCAAAGTCAAACCTTGAATGCGAACAGAAGCTAGATTCAAGCCCTTTACTGAAGCAGTTAAGCTGCGACAAATGCTCCCCAAAAGACCCTCGGCACGGCTTGGTAATGCTACATGTTCTGAATGTGCGTAAGCAAGGAAAAGGGCCAAACGACAAAAACACATAGTACGACACCGGAGTTTAGCAAAAAAACAGAGTCTGTGCAAGCACCCAACGCCACGGAGCACGAACCAGCTTCATTAAACCCTTAGTCTCGACATCTTGCACCCCCCAACCACATAACTAAACCCAAACCCTTGTGGAAACGCTTTGCTACATTTCGCACAGTAACAGTAACCCTGACCATGCCAAGCATGTTCTCTCAAAACGAAGCGGCAGTCACTTCGGATCAAGCTGGGTAGCTTGCATGGCCGGCCGGCCTCTGGCAGTCGGAGCTGCTGGAGGTCTCACAGGTGTCGTGCTTCAAGCTCTGCTGGAAGTGGCTCGAAGGGGATCCGGATCAGGACTTGAAGAGCTGGTGGCCCAAAATCCCTTAAGCGATTGGGAGCCTCTTGACTCGGGATCTTTTTCGTCAGATATTCACCTGCCTTCACTGATTGCCGGGATTCTGATAGGATTGTCCATTGGCCCACTAGCAGAGCTAGCTCTTGAGCTGCGTGTTCTGTGGTCGTACTGGCTCCGGCGGCAACTGAGAGGCCTACTCGGTTTGCCCGTGCAGCGGCAACTCTACCGAGAACTTTGATCAAGTGGATGCCAGGTCGAGAAGCAGAGCTAGCGGCTGAAGTGAGAGACTTGAAGTTGCTGGTTGCTGACTTGTCGGCTAGAGTGCGGAAACTTGAGCTAGAGCAAGAGTCGTTCAAAGAGTTCGAGCTCGTCCCATCGTCCGTCGCTGGACCTACCGAGCCAGTCTCCCAGAAGTCTGAGGCTGCCTACCCCACTTTGACCGAGCAGGAGAAGATCTTGATCGGAGTGGGCAAGTGGATTCGGGACCGGGTGCAAGGCCTTGGTAGGGGACTTTCAGGGAGAGAAAAGATTCCTCAGCAATCTCGCATCTACTTGCTGTTCAAGGACTACGACGGGAAGATCTACAACCCGGCTCGTTTGTTCTTTCGGTGGCGAGACCTGGAGCCCCTGGTAAAACGCCCGACTGGCGACACTCGCCAGGACTCCGGAACCTCAGTCTACATCGGCTTGCCCAACCAAGAGGACGGAAAGCTGGTGTGCCGTAGTGCAGGTGTTGAGTGGCCTTCCCAGGCTGCCCAATGAGCGAGACAGCCGAAGAGGGGGTCGAGGGAGACCCCTGGCCTACCTCGGCTGAGGAGGCCTTAGTATACACCGGGACAGGTGAGACGATTTACGAGTACCCTGTTGGCTACCTTTCTGTGGAGCAGGCGGGTGGCCACACAATTTTGGTGGATATCATCTTTATCAGCAAAGTACAGAATCGGTTGTTGGTTGCAGTACCTCTAGGTGCCTGGCACAGACAAGTTCCCAGGCGCAAACTTCCCCCAGGAGCTCTGTCCAAAGCAGTCGCGCTGGGAGTTGCTGGTTGTACCCCAGATCTTCGTCACCAGGCTTCAGAGAGCAGCACGGTTAAGGTTTGGGTTGGTTACTTGAAAGCGGAGCTCGAGGAGAAGGTCTCTTTCGAATCTCCGGGCGAGCCGGGAGAGACAGAGAAGATACACTTCGAACGGGACGGTGGAGGGGAGGCATGCCTCCCTTTCGCCGAAGCTCTCGTGGTTGTGGCAGACGAGAAGTTTTCTTTCTGCAGCGCGGTGTCTCAGGAATCGGCGAGCGAGGAGCGGTTGCGAAAACTCGAAGATGGTATGGCTCTCATCCAAAACAGTCTTCAGCAGCTAGCCAAGAATGGTCCCGCAGCCACCTCGAGCGGCAGCCGACCCAAGGCAGCAGGTGCCCCGAAACCGGAGATGCGAGCTGGACAGGATTTGCGAGGCCTAGATCCCGGTGTTGTGCAGTCAGCCCGCTCAGCAGGCATTCCCGAGGCTCACCTAGCTCAGATGGCCACCTTGGTTCGAAAGAAAACCCCTGGCCTTGGCGATCATCCCAAACAGACGGCGCGGGTAGATGCGCTGGGGGAGCCCGTCGAGGAGGAAGAGGGGGAAGATCAAGACGAGCCTGGGTGTGCAGGAGGGCCTGGAGGGTCGATGGAGAAGGCCCTGATCAAGCTCACCGACATCGTCAGCCTCCTTGCGAAGCAGAAGACCAAGAAGGCCAGTCTCGAGGAGCTTTTGGACGAGAGCGGCACCACGGGGGAGACTATGAGCAGCGGCTCCAGCAGTCGCAAACACGGCGCAGTCGTGAAAGCTCTTCGCAAGGCTCTCGTGGAAAACCCCGAGCAGATCTATCAGAGCATCCGTGCCAACATGCTCGAAGACTTCCACGGCCGAGTGGGAGGGCCTGGCGAAGCAGAAGGATCGGGAACCTTCCGCGGTTGGCTCGAACACAGGAGCCGGATCCCGAACATTCAGAGCTCAGTTCGAGTGGCATGGTCTGCAGGGGGTGCGCTCGATGCACTGGAGTCCGGAAAGGTCTCAGAATGCAAAGCGAGACTAGCTCTACTTATTGCGCAGCTCGATCAAGTAGCGTACGATCATGGCCATTGGCTGATTGCGCACGAGGCGGGGCTAGAAGCGACATCGCCGCCGTTCAGTGCATTCAGTCGACACCTTCTACCTGCTGCCAACGAGAGCCAATTCACGCGACTGCTCGATGCTCGATGGGTGGAGGCTTTCGTGCAGAAGGTGAAAGAAGTGGAGGAATATACGGATCGTCGCAACCGGCTTGTGAAGCCAAAATCAGCTTCGAACGAGGAACCCGGGAACCAACTGGAGAAGCCACCGAAGAACCCCAAAGGGGGAAAGGGCAAGGAGACTCAGAAGGGCGGTGGGAGAGGAGCCGCTGCCGAAGCAACCAACAACTGAATCCTATGAACCAGGGAGGCCTTGACCTCCCAGCGGCTGGGCGTGCGGATCACGAGCCGGCCTTGCATGCGAAGCAGCCGGGAGCAGCGGCTAGTACAGTGGAAGCTAGCTCTTGGTGGAATTCATCGTTGCGAGTTGCGCTGAAGGGTGGGACGAAGTTCTCCATCTTTCTTAGAACCCTGCTGAAAGTAGCAACGCCTGTCTCCGAGAAGGAGGCCACCGGGAAGCCTTGGCCTATGCCCGTGCCATATCCGGCAGTTTGGCGACGGGAAGCTGGCAGTCATGAGCTGGAAGATTTCAGTTTCAAGAGGGCTGTGAACATGATGGTTGCAAGTCTAAACTGGATGTTCTTGCGCCGGCCTCCGGTAGCCCCTGCTTGCATTCGAGTTGGCACTAAGTTGTCAAGTATGCAATGGCGAGCTGTTCGTGAACTAGAGCGGCTGAGCTTCTCGTGGAAGAGAAAGACCGTGACAGCAGTTGACATGGGTCGTACAGCATCAAAGATCGAAGCACTAGAGAATGCAGTCCATTTCTTGACTGGTTTGAACGTTGAAGGGTCTGACCTGATCTTCGAAAATGATTCTTTCACTCCCCTCCCGCGGCGAGGATATGGGAAACTTCCATCTTTCCGCGATCTTCGCCCAGGACTTCGGCGAGCCTTCGGAGGTGACGTGGTTGGAAACACCGGAATATCAGGCCAGTCCCTGACGGCAAAGGCCATTGTTGCTAGCCGCATCAAGTTTCGTGGGACTCCGAGTTTCGATCCTTCTCCCTATCTTGATGGACGAGGAGAAGCCATTTTCAACAGACCGTTGGATATGGCTATGTCCCCAGAGGACGTTTCCGTGGATCCGCCCAAGGTGAAGATCCACGCCAGCCGTACTGAACGAGATCGGCTGTTACATCTTCTGGATGATGGCAATCGGCTGGGATTCGTAGGCGGCAGTACCGCTCTGCAAGGTTACCAAGCCGGCTTATTCGCTGTGGGAAAGGACATGTCTACCGACCGGTTAATATTTGATTCGCGTCCTTTCAACACATTGGAAAGGCCACCCTGCAGATGGATCGCCAGCACCGCGACAGCTTCCAGTCTCCTGGACATCCAGATCCCGGAGGGTCATGTGCTCGTCTCCTCGGGTACGGATTTGAGAGACTTTTACTATTCGTTTGTTTGCAGTAATCAACGAAAGATTCGCAACAGCTTGGTGGGCCCTCTAAGCTTTGCGGAAGCCTCCAAGTTCCGTTCATTCAGGGCTGAGGATTTCAAGGGAGAAAACTACGTTTACGCCAGCTTAGCCACGCTGGCCATGGGAGACGCATGCGCTGTAGAAATAGCACAAACAGCGCATGTGGCTTTGCTGGTGCAAAGTGGGCTTCTGGATGAAAACAACATGTTAGCGATGAACATGAGCTGTCCAAGAAGCCCTAGCATGATCGGCGTCGTTATTGATGATCTGATAGCTCTGGAACTGGTTGCAAAACAAACATTTGAGTCAGGGATTTCTGGCAAAGGAGGCAAAGCGATCGAGAGCATGCTCGGACGCTACATCGACGCCGGCCTGACTCCCCACGAAAAGAAAACCTTCAAGGATCAACTGCTTGGGGAGTTTTGGGGAGCCAGCGTGGATGGGCAAGAAGGGCTCGTGAAAGCCTCCCTCAGCCGGGCACTGCCTATCTTTGCTATTACAAGTGCAGTGGTGGCAATGGGGGTCACAAGCCTGGCTCTGCTGGAGATTTTGATTGGGTCGTGGACTTCAATCTTTCTGTTTCGGAGAAGGCTTTTGAGTTTGTTTTCGGTAGTCTATGAGCCCCTGCAGCGTGGACTGAGACGACAGCATGTTATCAAGTTGAGCGAGGAGCTACGCGATGAACTGGTGATGATTTTAAGCCTGGGACCGTTAGCCTGCACGGATCTGCGATGCCGGAATTCCTCCCTGATCTACTGCTCTGACGCTTCCGAGTGGGGAATAGGCATCACTAAAGCAGCGCTGCCTAGCGGTTTTGAAGCAGAAGTGCATCGACATCGTTTGCGTAAACCAGTGTGGGCAAAGCTGTTGTCACCGTTGCGACGGCTCCAAAGACTGAAAGGAGTACTGCCCCCTGCCGAGGAGCTACCAGATGGACAGCTACTACCTGGACATCCTCTGTGGCTCGCCCTGGCGGGGTCGTTGGAGTACACCGAGGTTTACAGGAGGAAGGCTGTTAGGGACACCCATATCAATATATTGGAACTCAGAGGTCTGGTTAAGACTGAGGAGATCGCTGCCAGATTGGGGTTTCGACAGAGAGTGTTTTCCTTAGCTGATTCTCAAGTCGCTCTTGGATGTTGGATAAAAGGACGGGCATCGTCGCGAAGTCTGAACTCCGAACTTCAGCAGAGCTTAGCCGTTCACCTGGGATGCAACATGCAAAGCAATGCCGGATACATTCCTTCAGAGTTCAACAGCTCTGATGGGCCAAGCCGAAACAGCGAAGTTCCAGGCCCGTTCCTGCAGTTGCCTGGTTGGGTCGTTGAGCTTCCGAACTTAGACGCTTTCGATGCTTGGCTTCAGACCTATGACGCTGATCCCTACACCATCTCAGGGCTTCCAGCTCTGGCGGAGCTTTGGGCTAAGGTTGGACCTGTTCCTCAGAAACGTTTCCTTAGGAAGACCCCCAAAGCCCTGAACGAGTCTGAGCTTGAGATCAAAAAGAAGAAGATACAGCCAGGGACGTGGACCCGAGAACCCGTGAGTGAAGTCAAAAGTGGAGAAAACCAGCCAGGGGCCAGGACCCAAGAACCTGGGCCGCCCGAAATCCTGAAAACTTCCGACCTTAGCTCTCCGAGCTCCCCAAGAGTAGAGACTCTCCTTGCCTCTTCAGCTGCCATGGCACTGCTTTTGTACTTCAGCGAAGACCAGTTCGAGTGGAACCGGCAGTTGGGCACACTACCCGAGGTTTTGGAGCAGCATCCTGGGTTTCTGGACCTTTACTCTGGCGCGCGTGGCATCCCGAAGGTGATGGTGTCCAGTGCTCCGTGCTGGGTCCTTTGCTTCGACAACGAGGCCAACTCCAATCAGGACCTGTTGGATCCCGCAGTGCAACGAATCGTTTTGGGTCTTCTTAGGTCCAGGGTTTTCAAGGGAGTCGGTGCTGGAATGGTTTGCAGCAGTTTTTCGCGAGCTGTTAGACCTTCGTGGCGGAGCGCTTTGCATCCGGATGGTAAGCCTAATCTGGGAGAGCAAGGTTTATCGCGAGTCACCGTTGGGAATGCTCATGCGAAGTTCATCAGTGAAGTCTTAGCGATCGCAGTCCAAAATCAGCTGCGTTATTGGCTTGAGAATCCGTACGACAGCTTCCTTTGGCGGATGCCAGAGCTCAGCCCGTACCAGCCTTTGGATCCCTCCTCATCTTTTCGATTGGATTGTTGCAGATTAGGAACGCCCTGGCGCAAGCGCACTCGTTTCTTGACCGATCTGCACCTGGCCGGATTCAGCCTGTTCTGCAACCGTGATCATAAGCATAAGGTGCTTTCTGGCTATTCCAAGCTGTATAAGTGTTGCTGGACGCGTGCAGCTCAGCAATACCCCCGGAAGCTTTGTTGGTGGGTGGGCCAGGCAATGCTTATCGATACGGGATGTGTTCAGAAGCGGCCTTTCTCAGCTGCCAGCCTCGCTCGGCAAAGTCATGGCAGGATCGGTGAAGCCAAGAATCCTGGACCTGCCAGAGGCCGAGACCTAAGCTATCGTACTGCGGTTTCTTTAGACGAGGTGCTGCTGGTCGAGCCTACTACTGCCCAGCTAGGACTACGAGTACACACTGCCTTTCGAGAGTGGGTTTCAAGCAACCTTTCTGCGGAAGGAGCTGAGTCTCTTTTGGGATGCCCTGATACTTTAGGTGAGCTTGTCCGCTTGTTCGGGATATACATGTTCGATACCTTGCAGTCGCTCTACATGTACAAGCAGTTGATTACTTTCTTACAGCGCGAGCGGCCTGGACTCCGAGCACATTTTGGTGGGGCCTGGCAAACTGTCAGCCGTTGGGAAATCTGCGAACCAACTGTTCACAGGACCCCACTTCCGTACGGAATTTTTCAGGCTATGATCGCTGTTAGCTTGGTCTGGGGTTGGTGGCGATGGGCGGCCTGTACTGCGTTGGCCTTCTTTGGCATGTGCAGACCTGGGGAAGTGCTACGAGGTTTTCGCGAAGACCTTCTTCTTCCGTCGGACCTTCTCGGCGAAGAAATTGAGAGCATTTTCCTCACCATCCGATCACCGAAGACTCGTCGGAGGGGCGGAGGCCGTGTCCAACATGCCAAAGTTCAAGATCCTGTCGGTTCGCGGCTGTGCGCGTCGATATTCGGGCCCTTGAACCTCCGAGCACCCCTTTATCCTGGGAGCCCTGCCTCGTACCGCAGACGTTGGGATGCTGTGCTTCGAGCTTTGGAGATTCCAAGTAACCTGAAGCTTACTCCAGCCTCTCTCCGGGCTGGAGGGGTTGTTCGAGAATATCGGCGCGCTGCTGACATCTCAGGCCTCATGTGGAGAATGAGGCTTCGCAGCTTCAGTACGTTAGAGCGATATCTACAAGAAGTGGGAGCGGACAGTGTGTACGTCCAGCTCGGGTCAGCGGCTCGAGCTTCAGTTCGAGCAGCTAGTGCTTTGTACGTGTCTACTGTCGACGTCGTCTGTCATGAAAAGAGACTGTGACCGCGCGGGTCTTTTCAGTCTGCAGGAGTTTTGTTTATTTGCGCCCGCTGGGGCCGACCGGCCATGAAGGCAGCACCTGATGTCTTTTCAAGCCAGCAGCGGCAGCTTTCGAGAGGTGGAAGATTCTTGCAGCATCAGCTTTCGAATTCCTCACGACTCTTTTCTCTTTGTCACGTGGATGCTGATGCGCCTTTTAGAATCCGATGGCCCTGCTCGCCTTTGGGCCAGAGAATCTCAACTTGTTGCCGGCAGGGTGTGAAAACAGAACGCGGGAGTGGCAGTGATAACATGTTATTTTTCTTGTGAGCCCCAAGTAGCATTCTCCTTACACAGCCCTGCAGTAACCTCACTGGTAAAGTCAATGATAATCCTTCTAGTGACCAGCCCTAAACCCTAATCCTAATCCCTAAAACCCAAGCCCTAAAACCCTGAACCAAACCTCTAAACCCAACCCTAAACCCTCAACCCTAAACCCCTAAACCCCTCAACTCTTAAACCCCTAAACCCCTGAACCCCAAAGCAGGAGAGGTCGGAGGAGCCCCAAGATGGCGGCAGCGGCAGCGACGCCGCTGGAAGGGGGGCCCAGGCTCTGTTTTTAGGACCCCTTTAGGCTTCGGTGCTTAGTGCTTTGGGGTTTAGGGTCTTAGGCTTAGTTTCGGGTCTCAGGGTCTTAGGGTTTTGGGGTTTAGGGTCTTAGGCTTAGTTTCGGGTCTCAGGGTCTTAGGGTTTAGGGGTTTAGGGGTTCAGGGGTTATTAAAAATATAGGGGGTTAGAGGTTTAGGGTATATGGGGTTTAATGGGGTTGAGGGGTTTTGGGACTTAGGGTCTTGGGGGTTAGGGGGTATAGGGTTTCGTGTCTTAGGCTCTTAGGGTTTAGGATTTTAGGGTTTATGGGTTTAGGGGTTAAGGGTCTTGGGGTCTTAGGGGTCTGAGGTTTAGGGCCTTCACGCAAGGAGTTCCTTCAAAGGTACTGTAGGGTTCTGTAATTGGGTTCCTTTTCAGGGGTTCCTTACGGAATCCAGAAAGGCGTGTAAGAGCCGTACCTGAAAGGGCTTCTACTGTGGCTCGAGGATTTTGGGGCATATCGGTGGAGGTTTCTAAACCCTGAACCCCATTTCTTAAACCCGAGGGTTTGAGCATGCAGGATGTAGTGGTTCAGGCTTCAGGAGTTCAAGGGGGGTTGGCTGTTGGGTTTAGGGATATAGGGTTTGGTATCTAGGGATTAGGGTTCCTGAAACTTTCGGAAGCGAGGCTTCGGGTTTAGACTACCGCACTACGCATGCTGGGGCCCATTTTCCCCGAACGTACCTTCTCAACACTTCCGATGCCCATGCACATGGCCTGTACTGTAGGCATTGGAGCTTTATCATGCAAGTCTCCAGACCCTCAAACCCCGCATCTCTGAACGGATTTACTGTGGTGTCGGCTTGAGGTTTTCGAGCCCCGGGGAGTTCTGTGTTGAAGGACCTAGGAAACAACCAATGTCAGGCCGATTAAGCTCTGTCTAGGAGCCTACACTGGAGTTGCGACGTGGATGGAAACTCACGGGTGGCTCATGTCTGGTGTCAGTCGAGCTTGGAGCTACAACGTATGCTATCCCAGCTACGCCAGTCACAGGAGAAACAACTACCGAGCAGCAGGGTTGACATAGAGAATATAGCCGTGAATGATTAGTACTAGAACCCCTTATGATTATAGTCCCCGTTTTTTAACACTTTTATATACCTCCTCCCACATAAAAAATCGTCTTGGGTTTGAGCCCCCTGTTAGTAGGATTACGGACTCTGCTGGGCTTGAACCCCGCCCTGCAAAGAGGCGGAAGTGGAGGCGTACGGTGCTGAGGACGTGGACGTCGCACAGGACGTTTCACAGGAATATGGACGATTGCTTGCGACTGTCTTAGCATGTCGTGAAGGTAACGTTTGCTATCATGTCTGACCCAGGTGCACTGTCCCTATAAAACCATAAAACCTAAACCCTAAGCCGCGAGGATACGGTTGCAGCGGTGAGATTCAGTCAGCTGGACCAGCCTGCACAGCGACCAAGCTTCGAGGTGCCGGATGGAGCGAAAAACCCACAGCCTGTGAGTCCACAAACTTACTATTGTTGGAGCTCTGCCTTTTTTAGTTACGAAGTCATGCAGCCTACTATGTCGTAGTTTTTGGGGCTATGGGTCAAGGGAATATGAGTACCTGTAGGCCTTGAATGCCACATGCTGCAACCTCCTCGCCGAAAGTCCGGCGATCCCTCTGTGCCCATGCAGAAACTTCACGCCTCGAATGTTCCCACATCCGAAAATGGAGTAATCCTGAATTCCGGTGTGTAAGCTAGCTATCATGGTCTCCATTGTAGTTCGATAATTAGGATCCTATAAGGTAACCCCCAAACGGAACTACAATTGGGGCTATCGGTATCATGTTAGTGAGGATCGTCGCCGCACTCGAGCGTTGTGGATCAGGCGGTACCTGAACCTCTGCACGAAGAGGTGGAGGCGGAGGTCCATCTTCCTGTGGAGGTGGGCATCGATCTGGACCCGGGAAAGGAAGCTGCACCTGAATTTGGAACGGCTGTCTTCTGTTGACCGAATAGACTTGGATTAGGGATTTTGTTTCCCCCAAAGATGATGCCATGGACCCACCTGGGACAGAGTTGGGCTTTCTAGACTCGGAATCCTCGTTGTGGGTTGTACATGTCGTGCCTGTGGGCCATCGGACCTCAACTTCACCCGAAAAGCCTCGGAGGGTGGTACTGAAAGAGCGAGCCCTAAACCCCGGGACCCCTTAACCACCAAACCCTAAGCCCAAAACCCTAAACTCCATGCCCAAAACCTAAACCCCAAGCCCAAAACCCTAAACCCCAAGCCCAAGACCCTAAACCCCAAGCCCAAAAAGGCCAAGACCGTAAGCCCCAAGCCCAGAAACCCCAACCCTAAGCCCAAAGGCCGAATAGTAATGCCTGACCTATGGCCTTAGGACGTAGCTGCGGAAGTGGGGTTCGACTGCTTGGAACCGCTGGCAGAGCATGAGAAGTTCAAGGTGTCCGATGGAAAGAAAGAAAATACCCGGTTTAAGCTAAGTAAGGTTGCTAGGTTTAGGGATTAGGGTTTAGGGTTTAGGGAAGGTAGTACCTATAGTATTGTAGTTCCTTTTTTTGGTTTAACCAATTGTATATTAAGGATTTTATAAGGTATCCCCAGAAAGGAACTACAATGGAGACTATAGGTAAGGTTTGTAGGGCCTGCACGGTTGATTGAGAACCTGACAGAGAGAGTCAGAGAGAGAGAGAGAGAGACAGAGAGCGGGGGAGATTTTGTTGCCATGTTTTCGGCTGATGATCTAAATCCTGCATTACCCACAATAAGGAATATACCATGATTCCCATAGTTCAGGGTTCTTAAGGTTTTGCCGGCTTTATATCATCAACAGTAGGATTCATCAGGCTCGCCAGTCTGGTTTCAGGAAGGTTTCGTTGCTTTTGAGGGATATTGGGCGCTTGGAACTCGCATTCTGCGAGTCGATCCGAAACAGGGTTTAGGGTTTAGGGTTGATAGGGTTTATGGCCCGTTTGTGGTTTAGGGTTTAGGGTTTAGGGTTTAGGGTTTAGGGTTTAGGGTTTAGGGCTTAGGGTTTAGGGTTTAGGGTTGAAGACCTACACCAGCACCCATCAAGCTATGTATACACGCTGGTGGTGCGCCGCAGGCGATCCCTGAATCACCGCTGGCAGAAACGGAGGTGGAGGTAGACCTTTCAGCGGAGGTGAAGGTGGGTTTGGTCCCTGCAAAGGAAGCTGCAGCTGAATTTGAAAGGCTGCTTTGCCTCTGCTGTTTAACCCCGACACTTCAAAAGGGATTGTAGTCGGAATCTGATATGGTCCACATTGACTATGACTGTGCTTATACGGCAAACCCAAAACCCAGTTCGGAATATACTAAAGTTACTAAATTATACCCAAACCTCAGTATGATGAACAAGAGTCGTACATTAGCCCAGGAGTGTTTTCAATTCGAAAACCTGGCTGCCGACGCGGGATTCAACCACCTGGAACAGCCTGCAGACACAGCGGCATTCGAGGTACATGGGAGTCGGTTGAGGGTTACGGGGTTCAAGGTTCGGTAATTGATTGAGCTCAGTCCGCCATGTATGTAAGAGCACACTGCAGCTGGAGTTGCGTTTTGCATACTTCTCTACGGGTCTTTTTGGGTCCCCAAAATAGTACGGAACCCTTCTAAACAGGACGCTGAAAGGGACCCTAACTACCCAAGCACCCCTCTCGTACCCTTAAACAAGCCTATACCTAGAAACCCTTGTAGATCCCTTGAAGAACCCCTGAAAGGAACCCTAAGTTAGACATAGTGGCATCGTGGAGTTGCGAAGCAGGTGATACCGGAGCCTCTCTGCGAAGAGGCGGAAGTGGAGGTAGACCTTCCTGAGGAGGAACAGTTGGATCCCGGGAAGGAAGCTAAATTACAAAATTCAGAAGTTGCAGAGTTGTTTTCGATGACTTCTAGTCTGGTTTTTGTGCTCAGAATATTTTAGGGTTTAGGGTTTAGGGTTTTTGCGCGCTGTACCGACGGTTTTCACAGAGTAGTCGATCGTTTTCTTGGTATTGTCACACGAGCCACCGCCTGGTAAAGATCGTATGTGATAGTGTCCCCGCGTATTTCACCTTTAGGGTTTTCGGTTTAGGGTTTAGGGTTTATAAGGGTTTAGGGTTTAGGGTTTATAAGTTAAGAAATACCGACCCCTAAGCCCCTA